ACCGTACAGATAACACAATACACTATCAGTTAAAGGGACAAATTTCTTTACTTAAGTTACCTAGAAATATTACCAAAAATACAAACACCTCAAGAGAGCAAGACGAATTTAAACTATAACTTATAGAACTCTATTTAACAAAACAGGTTCAAATGCACTGCTATGACGGTGTTTCCGAGTGTGTTTAATGTAATGTTGCTTGCGCTCACCACATCATTAGTCATCATAAGTAAATATTTACATAGCCTCGCTTGTTCCTCGTTGCATGGAAACACTCTAGCAGGTTGTGTGTGCTATTTGGTTAGGTTTCAACTGTTATGTTCACATTCTAGTGATAAAATAAAGGACTTTTGTAAAATGTCAACATCTGGGGGTTACTAAAGGAAAAGTTACTAGGAAAACAAAAACACAATATTTACGAAGTAACCAGCCACATGAAAATCAGTGGAATAGTGTCGTGTACAACTAACAAAAATAGTCTAAAAATAAAAAATATTACAAAATAAATTCCGATAAACAGTAAAATGATTAATTGCAAGTGTTTTAAATTTAATATTCAACTGTCTGAAAAAAATAAATTCGAATTAAAATTGAGTGAGGGTCCATTAAATACTTACAGCTTACTTAATGGAAAAATATTAACAAACACGAATCCATAAAGATTGATTGGTTGTAAATACAAATACCCCCGCCGCAGCAAACCTGCAGACTAAGCGAATTTCCATTTGACTGACTGGATTTACACTGAAATGTCTACTTAAAAATATAACATTTATTCCCTATTTAAATAGAATTAGTTTAACAAGTACTTAGGTTTGCTGCATCAGGGAGGGTAAAACTGTAATTTGTTGTAAAATGTTAATAATTAGTAAGAAATAAAAACATTTTCCAAATTTGATCAAAATATGTTCATAAACAAGCAAACTACAACAGTTTACTTATTCTCCATAAGAATAACATGGGAATTTAAAATTTACAATTTTTTGGAATTTTCTCCGTAACCATTAGGCGCATAATAACGCTTCAATATACTAATTTATTTGTTTTTTTAAGCTCTACAAAATGGTTTGGAAAGAAATTGCTAAATTTTATGTTTTTTGGGTCAAAAATGGGAAAAACCTATTTTTACCCCATAAAACCCCCCGTAAACCCCCGTTCCCATGGTCCGATCAAGTTGGATCGCGAACTCGTTCGAATAAACGTAGGTTTACACGTTTGTACCAAATTTCATCAAAATCGGATCATTTTTGCTCGAGTTATCGTGCTAACGGACATATATATATATATATATATATATATATATATATATATATATATAAATATATATATATATATATAAATATATAAATATATAAATATATAAATATATAAATATATAAATATATATATATATATGAATTTGAACTGATGGTGTTTTTGGCCTCTAGGGACCTCAAAACGAAAAAAAAAATCGGTCCCGCGTCCAGGTCTTACCATGAGTACTACGGTAATAGCTTATTCCCTATATGGGAAATTCGCTAAAACGGGTATTTTCAAGAAAAAAGGTGCCACTAGTAAAATCTTTCCTGTCCAAATGAAGGTTAAAAATGGTTAGGTTAGTTTGTTTTGCCTTTAAAAAAAACGTCATCTTTGTTAATCCTGTATTATTTACACCACGTAAATATAGAACATTTGAGTAGTTGGGGCCCTTTCTTAAAAAGACCCTATAACTAAAAATATGTCTCAACCTCATATTTTCATAATAGGCTTCAAACAACACCCCTGTTGCTGTATTGTCAAGCTTTGTACAAACATTCAACATGTTTTCCCTGGACTCTAAAATAGAAAATTACTTAACGAAAACATCACAAATCCTAGAGAAGTAGAGTACTACGAAAATACCACTGACAACACTAATCTTGAACTCTATCCAACTCTTTCATCCTACCACAACAGATTGTATGTTGGAGCTAGACAATAATGTCAAGTGCTTGTGCCTCACCACCATGGACCTTTTATATTACCGTGTTTCATTTTACGAATAGTTAAATTAAATTCAGACCAGGATTTTATTTTAATAATTGTAAAAATGTCGATTGCGACTTTTACTTTACTGAACCTGTAAATTAATAGCCCACACCTCTAGTGTTAATCACAATACAATTGTCTTCACTAGCATCTCATATATAAATGATTTCAACGTAAGTAAAAGAAAATTGAATAGCCCTGAAACAAATAATGCAAGCATTTTCAAACTAAGGTATAATAGTATATTTTTCGTACCTAGTGCTGAAAATGAGGTTTTGCCTGCTCGACGTTTAAGTTCGATACGAAGTCGAGAACTTAAAACGATCGAGATCTGCAAAATTCTTTCGACCCGGTGGTACGAACACTATTTTTCACCACACTATAGGAAATTGAGAAAATATTCACAATAAATGCACACTAACAGTAAACACAAATACTACAACTTCAAGCTAAAAACATTGTAGTGGGGTGAAAAATTAAAAACGTACAAGTTAAAATTGTTATTGTTGTATTTTTTGGATTGTAAAACGATGTTAGCTATCAAAATCAATTAGACATCCACAAAAGTGAAAAACTTAACAAAAGTAACTTTAATAGTGGATCAAGTGGGTAATAGTTCTTAATTTTAACAATGAGGGATTATTTTTAGAAAATGTAATAAGACAGTATAATTCATTTCAAATTGCTGAGCTAAAACTCGGTTGAACTGAAGGGATGGTTGGAATGCAATTAGATTCTAAATCGGTTGACAATTAAATTTTATTCAGATTTAATTTGTCGCACAAAAGAACTCAAATGGCCATCAAACCTTGATTTAAATACAGGAGTTCACTGAAACAGCTAATACTCGGACGAATAAGGCTTATAGGTTTTATATCAATTAAATAAAATGAATGAATTTATGTATCCATTGGCTGGGATAAATTTTTCGTTTCCATTAGGTTTAATCGCGCTGTTAAGATTACAATAATTTATCCATATAGGATTGAAACTGTGTTGTACATAGAAAAATTGTTGTTGTACATAGTTGATTTTTGGATAGTTTTAAGATTGTTAAATTATAGATTGATTTTATAGACTGTTTTATGGATTGTTTTATAGATTATTTTTATAGATTGTTATTAAAGATCGCTATTATTGATTGTTTTTACATTGTATCACCACAGAGAAGATTGATTATTTATATTGTTTTTAGATTGTTTGATGGATGGTTTTTATTTATAGTTTAAGTAGGTTAATGACAAGAGTTGTTTTGTAAAGCAGAATTGTAAATATCTGAAAAACGCTTGCTGAATAAAGACCATTTATTATTATTATTATTATTATTATTATAAAAATGTAAGCTATTTAAACGAAATTAAAAATTTATAGTTTATTTTTACTATGTATGTAATTTTCTTTAACAATCCCAATAACAAGAAATTGTCTTAAATTGTTGATTAAATCACAACTAACATATTTCACACAATTATTTGAATAGTTGTTTAAAATAGCATGATATGAAGATTACGATCTTGAAATAAAAACCCATTTACCTTTAGGTCCGTTTGGTTTTTGGTCAATCTGTGAATGATTAGTAGAAACCCTGCATTTCAGTGGCAAGAGCTTTTGGATATTTTGTCCTAGAGGCTTGGGTACGAGTCCAGCCAACCACAAATGACATTTAGTCTAGTAAGAATGCCCCAAGAGGTGGCTTGAAGTCCTTCTTAGGCTCTAGGTAACAATGAAAAAATAATTTTCCTCCAGGGTCGTAAACATTCTCTGTAATGGCAATACAAGAAATCTATTTTGTCCAATATAAGTCAAAGGATAAACTTTTTTTATCTCCTTAAAAACACAAACCAACCAGTTTTTTACCAATTTATTTTACTGTTGATTCGTTAAATTAAGAACATCATTGAGTTATAAGACACTTTTGTCAATTAGTGATTGGTCGATAAAACACCTAGCAAAATCACTCCCTCTTTCTGTAAATATTGCGACTAAAATACGACATATTTTTGGATGGCGTAGTATTCCTGTATAAATCATTACTATAAATTTAAGATATACAGTGAATTATTATAACAGGAATGTAATTGGAGATTGTCCTTGCATACACCGGTTCAGGTCATGTAACTTAATCAACATTGCTTTAACACATGACTGGGTTATTCTGGTTAATGTTATGCGACGTTTTACATCTCAAAGATCACAAATTTAGTTTCTAGTACAGTAAAGTTGTGTGGGCATTACATATACCTAAACACATGATTCAAAAGTGCTTTTTATAACACTAGAAGTTGTGATAAACTCTTTAAAAAAATATATATGTAAGCTTAACTGTTACAACATAAAAACCAGTTATATGTAAGGTTATTCAATATATGCTACAAGTTTACTACATAAAATATATATAACAAGTACAGTATTTAACTTCCTAAATGGTACCGTAACACCTAACCTCAAAAATTAAGAGACCCTAACCACTGTGGTATCCGAGATTCTTCGTGACCGAGGTAGGCTCGCTACCAACAACTTCGGTTAATGAAGAGTGTACTGCACCGTAATACCGTTTATGTTTATGTTTACTTTTTATCTTATGTCTAACACAGTTTCAGTTTTTATTTGATATTAGGGCGAAGTTCATCCAAATAATGGAAATGGATAGGTCTCATGAGGGTTTGAGATCTATCTCTACAATGGAAAACCTCTTCTCCACAATTTCTCGCAATAAATATCCAACAGCATTCTGTAAATTACCCAAGTATAGCCTATGTGAGTCTACGTACCTACGCATGTATCAGCCAGAAGCAACCCAGAAGGAAAAACATAAATCCCATTCAACAAAATGTATGTTGTGGCTAATCCGATTCAATGGTTCAAGTACAATACGATTTAAAATGTTTCAGGCACCGTATTTACACAATAATGAAGTTGAATTTTTGCCAATCCGGTTTTGTGTCTGTTTAATAAGAAATACCTTAACTTATTTCTGGTACTATGTGTTATAGACATCCCGGATGACGATCCACAGATGACTGCGCCTTGCGACCTCCATCAACGAGCAACATGAATGTCACAGCAAACACTACGTTGCCGACTCCTCCTGAGTTAAGGTACGATGGTCTTACTATAAAACTCAAAATGGACTAATATTCAGATGAATAATACGCTATGCAAATTATTCACAAAAATTCGATAGGACTTAAAATGCTTTACCTTCGATAAGTGTTAATAACTTCAACTAAAGTATGCCTATAGGCCTACATGTTATGTCGAGTACATGTTATAACATGTACCGTATAAGAAACCTAAGATACATGATATTGATTAATAAATTCCATGCTATTTTCTGTGTCAGTATTCAAAAATATTGTTGGAAAATCAATCTGTTCATGAACGAAGAGCAGAGGGGTCCTGTAGATGGCTCAGCGTCGTAAAATCATATTTCATCATTTGACCTTGACTTAAACTTCCTACAAAGATTTTCCATTTACAATTTGGACATTTTATAAGTAACTTAAAATATATGTTTATTTTTACAGCTACTGTGGGCCGGGACTGGACCATTTCCACGCCACCTACCGCGGAGTCCACGGCTACGTCAGTCTGCTAGTCTGTGTGTTTGGATCCGTCGCTAATGTTCTCAACATTGCTGTACTGACCAGGAGAGAGATGACGTCACCAACCAACGCCATCTTGACCGGACTGGCTGTGGCTGATCTGCTGGTTATGATAGAGTACATTCCCTTCGCCTGTCACATGTATCTGCCCCAGCGGCCTAAGAGGGAGAGGTAGGCTATTGTGGTGTTTAAGTAATCTGATATATAATTTTTAAACATTTCTTTCCATCAGAAACTATGTTTTAAAACATAATCTTTCTCGACCATTTAATACCTAGCTTAACAACGTATGAAAGTCTAGAATCGAAGATAAAGTGGTTTAAAGAAGTCTTGTGACCTATATTGTCTTATTACTAACTTAAGCTCACCTGATACTTATATGATGGCATCATTTCACCTCCGTCAGCCTGGTGTCTCAGTTACTGACCCTAATGTAATGCTAAGGTACTCCTATGGCTGGGCCCTGTTCGTCCTACTGCACGCCCAGGTGTCGCAGGTGTTCCACACAATCTCTATCTGGCTGACAGTGACGTTGGCTGTGTGGAGATACATAGCCGTGGCACATCCACAACGTAACAGAGAATGGTGTGGCATGCAGCGTACTCTGGCAGCCATCGCGGCTGGCTACATCTGCTGTCCACTGCTGTGTATCCCGCTCTACCTGGCCTTCGAGATCGAACCTAAGGTTAATCTACATGCTTCTTAAATATACAATGTAACATAGAGCTCATCCACAATATACGTTGGTAATCATATTTCATAAATATATAAGAACCTATTACTAGAAGAGTTCTGGAGTCCTTGAATTGTTAGTAGTGTGAGTGGTGTAAATGTTATAAAAACAATTAGTTTCGGAAAGAATTTAAAGCAAATTTGCTTTGAAATTATACAGGTTCAAGGTATATTACTGATAACTACTAGCCAAATGGTATTGAATGGAATTTGGTGAAGCAAGTAGTGATATTTTCTACTTGACTACCTCTGTAAGCACCTTAAATATCCACGAGCCAAAATAAATAAAAAAAAACTGTTAACAATACAAGAAGTATATATACAAAGAAAAATGTTATTTTTAAATAATGTTTAGGGGGCCTACATGAGATTACTTTCGTACTAATAGGCAGTTTAAATAGGCTAGCTAAATCCCTGATAGCATCGTAGGTATGGTACATTTTAAGATCAACTATATGCTAAAAAGGGGAGTAATTTAATTTTAATTCAGGATTATTAAATAACTACTTAAACCAATTTTGCATAGGTAATGCGTTTTAAATAGTTTCTCAAGGAATTGATTACCATAGATCAAGTTTAAGTTCGAGATGACCTTTCGACATGGATGTAATATAATATCCACATTGATTTTTGATTATTTTTTAATATTTACAGATTGCGTTACTTGGCGAAGACGGCAACGACGCCATGCCCAACTCGACGACAGGCCAGAACACAACGCTGTATGTCGTGGACCTCAGCGAGATGGGCAAAGCGAACAACAACCTCCTGATGGACGTCAACTTCTGGGTGTACAGTGTTGTTATCAAGATAATCCCTTGTATAGCGCTGACCGTGCTGAGTCTGCGGCTGATCTGCGCGCTGCTGGACACCAAGAGACGCAGAGAGATGCTGACCAGTAGCAGCAGCAGGAAGTCTACCAGAGTCATGGAGAAGGAGCGACAGACAGACAGAACCACCAAGATGTTGCTGGCGGTGCTGCTGCTGTTCCTTCTCACTGAGTTCCCTCAGGGTATCCTAGGAGTGCTCAGCGTCGTGCTGGGTCAACGCTTCTTCCGGGACTGCTACAACAAGCTGGGGGAAGTGATGGATATCCTAGCCCTCATCAACTCCGCCATCAACTTCATCCTGTACTGCGCCATGAGTCGCCAGTTCAGGACAACGTTCACGGTGATGTTCAGGCCTCGGTGGATGCCAGTGCCACAGGTAGACGCCAACGGCCACAACAACCACACTACCACGCAGGTGACACAGGTCTAGCGGAGAGCCAGCAAGAGGGTCCCCTGCACTTCTCTCTAACCTCCCTCTTGCCTCTCCTTCCTTACAAGTGACCTTGCCAAGGTGGATGCCGGTGCCGCAGGTAGACGCCAACGGCCACAACAACCACACTACCACGCAGGTGACACAGGTCTAGCGGAGAGCCAGCAAGAGGGTCCCCTGCACTTCTCTCTAACCTCCCTCTTGCCTCTCCTTCCTTACAAGTGACCTTGCCAAGGTGGATGCCCGTGCCACAGGTAGACGCCAACGGCCACAACAACCACACTACCACGCAGGTGACACAGGTCTAGCGGAGAGCCAGCAAGAGGGTCCCCTGCACTTCTCTCTAACCTCCCTCTTGCCTCTCCTTCCTTACAAGTGACCTTGCCAAGGTGGATGCCAGTGCCACAGGTAGACGCCAACGGCCACAACAACCACACTACCACGCAGGTGACACAGGTCTAGCGGAGAGCCAGCAAGAGGGTCCCCTGCACTTCTCTCTAACCTCCCTCTTGCCTCTCCTTCCTTACAAGTGACCTTGTCAAGGTGTCCCAGCTACGTCCCCAGACATTGCTCAACTATCTAGTGTCACGTTTGTTTTTACAACGGATCGAGTCAAGAAAAAGGGCATTGTCACATTTATCATGATATGTAAACTAATGATGTAAATCACTCAGCATATTTGTTCTAATTGTTTACATACCGGTACTTAAAAATGTGTTTTAAAAGCCAGGTATGTGAAGGATACAACTGATCTGAGCCTTGGTTTATCTTTTACATCGTGGAACTAGTTACGGACAACAAAGGTTTAGTAGGCGTGGCACAAATGGACTAAATTTAAGATGCTTTTCTTACTCTCCAAACGTATTAATGTATGTGCTATGTACTTATTTAATTTGGATAACAATTTAATATCCTTGTATTTACATATTTTACTCGTGTTGATAAAAAACGTGTAGTTTTTATAAAACTGTTATGAATACGATGTAATGTTTATTTTATGTCATGCAATTTCAGCGAAATGCCTACCTAAGTTGTGAGCCCCCTGGGAAGGAATTTCGCAAGTTATAATTGTTTTGACATGATGTATAAACTGTACCAAAAATCAAGATGTATATTTTTCACTGTTACCTTGGATGGATTTCCATTTGTATGTAAATATTAAAATATACAGTTGTACTTTGTTAAACAGACTTATTTTACAGCCCAACCCTTTAAAATCTAATGTATAATGCACACATTCTGATAGTACCGAACACGGGATTGTAGCCAATACTATTCCAAAAATACCCTCTTAATGTTTTTTTTTAAGCACTAAGTCGTCAAACACTAACATTAGGAGAATTGGATCCAGAGCTGTCTCGAGTGACAAGAACCTAAATGAAAGACAAGCAAGTGACACTGACAAAATAAACATGGTCTTTAACTAATTTTCTTGACTCAATTTCGATCGACCCAATGTTGAAGTTTCATTACTTGAAGCAGTACTTTTTCACATATTATTAAGTAGATTAATTGATTACTAACTGTAGTTATTGGATTATTATTTTAATAATCAGACATAAACATGGAACACATTCAAAGGGCATGTTTTTCAATTGATTTTAATAGAATTTTCAAAACGATGGTACAGATTGCTGCAAAATATAGAACATCTAAACGGATACAATACATATTTAGCTCACTAGGAAAGAATAGTTTACAGTGGTAAGATAAAATATGAAGTTATGAACTTGCGCAAATTAAAGTGGAGTTACTCATGCAATCCCACTACTTAAGCTGTTTTAATGATGGGTGTGGCTTACGCAATGTGATCAAGATATTACTTTGGTCAAGGTGTGATCCAGTAATACTTCATCAATGTTTGCACTGTAATATTTCATTTCATTCATTCATTTTTTAGTATTAAGTTTCTTAAAATGTTAACTTTTGTTCATACACCTTTGTTATTAATCACTCCTCAGAGAGGCTGGCCTAATATTCATTTTCCTAATTTATATAATTTAATTAATCTGTTCAATTAATCATTAATAATATTCATTCCATAGCCTATATATATTTTTTACAAAGCCCACAACTTAATTATTTATTAGATATGTAAGAGAATTGCAATACATCAAAATTTCTTATAATATCATTTCAAAAGAATCAAAATTCAAGAAGCAGTGAAACAGTGATCCATGTGTTCAACAATGAATTATGTGAACATTGAGATTGGAGAGAGAAGGAAGCCAGAGTGGAAGTTGAAACTGTTAGTTAAAAGAAGGATTCCAGATTTTATCTAAATTAAATTCATTAATATCAACAAGAAAACCAGTTTATATCAAGTTATCACAGTAAACCTCAAGAGGACTCAACTCCATCATTGTTATTTTCTAAATTAAATATAAACTTTTCTTTTTAAACTCTTTTAAATTCAGTGCTAATTGGACTTACCTTTTGGACAACATCAAAATTAGATTTTTCATTGTTGGAATTTTGTAAGTTTAACACCATAATTAGGCCTATTTGGACACTATTAAATTTATTAATTCTTAGCATTCAAGCCAGCACGACACTCTACCCTGGGATAGAGCACATCTAAATTATTTGAACCTTTATTTCAAACTTATCTTTTATTTAATTTTAATATCAACCCACACACACCATTGGCAGTCCTTTCATTATAACGTTAAGCCTTTTAAATTTCATTGCATGATTGTTCATTTATTTCAATAAAACACCTTTTGCAATTCGTATATCTTTGTTAACTTATTAACCTTAAACTTTTATAGAATAGGCCTAGCCTAAAATGAATATTGTAAGGTGAGTTTGTTCCAGTTATACTTCGTCTGTGTTTGCACCGGTAGAATACACCTTGAGATACAATTTCTACACAACAAAATGTGGTAAAATTTACAGGCTACCGCTGTTGAATGGGCTTCCTTATAGTATTACAACTGTTTAATACTACAACTGCGTGTTGATATATCGTATAAGCTACCCAAAATCCTATTAACCGATAATTAGTCGGGCGACAACGTTCAGCAGTGTAATGTTTACTCGATTGTATAAACATTTCGAGTTTATCGCATATTACCTTTCATGGAATTGCTTGCTGGGCTTATGGATATAGGTTATGGAAAAACAGTAACCTTCAACTGCATAGTTTAACATAAAATAGTTATGGGGGGATTTCATGTTCTCTGGGAACGTGAATGATTTCAAACACAGTTTTTCACGCATTTTCATTTTCTCACAAACACATTTTCATCAGAATCTACTGCGTTTTTTCATAAATTTTAGTTCACTGTTGGTTACTATAGCAAAAATACTAATAGAATACCTAATGGTAAACATTACTTCGACCTATAATCTACTGCATGTACTCCAAAATGCATTTGCAAGTTTTTAACAGAATTGTATTGTATTGTATTGTACGAAACAAACATAGGTTTAATGGTTTAAAGGGTTTTTCCCGTGTAAAAAAATAATTTTTTGAAAAGTATTTCTTTAATATTTTTTATGCCAAGTAAAATAAGATATTCCAATCTAGTTTTTAAATGGAATCTTTTTTACTATTTTTGTACCCAGCATTAAATTTGGATCTAATTAATAATGTTTTAAACTACAGCACGTAAAATAATACCCCCGCTGCAGCAAACCTGCTGATAAGTGAATTTCCATTTGTCTGAATTGATTTTCTATTTAATCTATCTAAATAACATTAGGTTTAACGAGTACCTAGGTTTGCTGCTATAAGGAAACTAATAAACGGTGTTTTTTAGTAAAATGTTAATAGCTTAGTATAAAATAAATGAAATTCCGAAGTTCGATCAATATATATCCATTTACAAGCAAACTACAACATTTTACAATATTCTCCTTAAGAATAACTTGGAAATTTTAAATTTACAATTTTTTTATTTTCTCCGTTACCAATTATTGTACAAAATGTTGGTATACTAGTTTTTAATTTTGGTTTTAGTTATAACAGTTTTTGGTATACTAAATTATTTGTTTTTTAAGCTCTTTAATAAGGTCTCGAGAGAAAGTAAGAAATTTTAGGTTTTGAGGGTAAAAAATAAGAAAAGCCAATTTTTATCCCATAAAACCCCCCGTAAAACTCCGTTCCCATAGTCCGATCCTGCTGGTTCGCGAACTCATTCAAGTTTATCCCACCTTACACCTTTAACCAAATGTCATCAAAATCGGACAAGAATTACTCAAGTTATCGCGTTCATGGACAAACATATTTATATAAATTTGAACGAATGGTGTTTTTGGCCTCTGGGGACATCAAAATGAACACGTAAATCGGTCCTGGGCCTGGGTCTTACCATTCCACCTACGGTAATAGCTACTCCCCTTTAGGGAAATTAGCTAATAGAAAATTCAGGCACACTTTGCAAACCTAGTATTATTATCTATCTTAATAGTATATGAATAATAATTGAAACATTGTATGCTTGGGGTATAATCGAAGCATAAAACAAATTCGCAAAAGGAAAGTCTTAATATATACAAAGTTTTACTAAAGTCACCAAAGTCTTACAAAGTCTTACCTTCTACAAAATGTATATGTAACATAAATTAAACAAATGTTCATTAGTAATAAATTACGTCCAAAAGTTAATTAATTCAAAACTGTCTAGGCTGTAGATTACTATAAACATAACATTATATTATACTAAACATTCTGACAGCCGGAATGTAAACCCTTTGTCAAGCAGGATTAGTTGATGTATGTAACTGCGTGATAGACAGATATATGCTTGAGTGTTTGGAATGGGTTGTACGCATACAATTAATATGCGTGTCAAAGTTACACCAAATATGAGATATGATTTGGATCTGTATCAATTCTACAACACTGCGTAATTAGTGTATCAGCAAAACAGGGAGTAATTTACAATGAAATATATTTAACATATAAACTTTTATTTGGGATTTCCAAGTAGCCTATAGATTCTGTCAATGTACTACACTAGCATTATCTATCCTGTTAATTAATGTAAAAAATTGATTGTGTATAGGCTTGGAATAATAGTTCAAGCAATAAGCGTGTGCACATGCATTTTGAAGAATGAAATAGTAGTTTACGCAACGATTACGTTAAGTTAGTCTTTACGACACGAGTAGAAAATTTAAAAACTTCTACGAGTGTCGTAAAGACTATTAACGCGAGTTGCGTACACTACTTTACCTACGACAGTTTTTTAATTACTAACAATCTGGTTTTTAATTACTAAAAATCACTACTCGTTACTTCTTAGAGAGGTTATGTTTTCGTTTATTGTCAGTGCCAATGAAAGGTAAGTGATGCAACGACTTATTGTATAATCGGCTGATTTCCTGTAATTAGGTGTTTGTAAAACTTCGTTAAAAAAATACGTTACCTTTTTCAGGGAATGTGTTCTGCTAGCAGCATTCTTACGATAAATACTGCATCAGGTACAATTAGGAAAATTTTGCATTTAGTTTTTGACAACTAAATGATTATAGTGAAACAGTTAATTTACAGTTAGATCTCAGCATCGAATATTATAGAATATTATAAATAGTTTGTTCTCTCATTTCCATCTCGTCAACTTCACTTTCACTAACTGACATTATTAAATCAGTTTAATCTACCTTCCTTTAACTTCCACAAACTTAGGGTAAGAATACGCGAGTATCAACAGGAACAAGTCAGATCAACAATTAAATCGGTCAACTGATCAGCTGATCAGCTGATTAGTTGACGTTCGAAGCATTACAATTGTAATTCTTTTCTCTCAATACTTGAACCTCATTGGTCCGTTACCTGTGTTGATATGAGAAAAACTATGCTGATATGAAATGAAACTATGCTGATATGAAAGTAAACAGCTGTTAAGTGAAACTTTTCAATTCTAAGAACTGAACTGAAATGGCTACTTTAAAAAACGGTCGTAGGTAATGGTATATTGGCACATTATGAATAAGTGCGCGATTACATGGAACGATGAATATTTAAACAACATTATGCTAAAATTATGTCAAGTAAAAAATACACTGTTCATATTTAATTCCTAACAACAATTATTTTACTCTATTCGTTTACTCTGTTTACTTGGGATAAAATGATGCTTTTAGGATTTTCAATATCAATACGATACGCGATGAGATACGCAAACAAATACAGTAA